GATCTACGCTGCCACATCCCACCCCAGCGCCACCGCGGCCAGGCACGGAGCGACGCGCCCAGAGCCAGTCCCCCACTTCCTCTGGGCGGGGACGTGCACCAGTCCGCGCCAGCGGCGGGGACGGGCGCGCCGACTCGCCGGACGCCTCCCCGGAGGCTCGGGCAGGACAGGAGAGGGAGGAGCTCCAGCCCCCGCTCCGCCGCTCGCGAGCCCTCCCGCCAGTGCTCCTGCGACTGGAGCAGCGGTGCCCCCCCAGAAAGTCCTGCCAGTGGCGCCGTTCCGGTAGGAAGCGCAGCCCCAGCAACTCCCCTAGGCCAGCGGTCCGCGGGCGCCCCTCTACCAGCCCCATCCGCACCGTGCTCCCACCGCCAGCGGCGCCCCCCTCCAGCGCATCGCCGACCGCAGAAGATGAACCAGTGCGCAAAACCCCCAGGACTGGCGAACGACACGGCCCGGACGTACCTCAGAGGGAGCGCGGCCGCGGCCCAGCGGAGACCACCCCGCCTTGGAGACGGGAAGCGGCGCCACGCCACACGCCCCCCCTTCGGACAGGGACGATGGGCTCGACAATTTGGACGGCACCAATTCACCTGGGCCCCTACCTGGAAGCACCGAGACAACGCAAGGGAGGACCTGAGGGCGGCGGTCAATCGCCCCAAGGAGGCATGCGGCCCCATGCTCACCATTGGGTGGAACGCCGTTTGCGATCATGAGTCTGGGCCCCACTCAGACAGACCCGCAGCGTCGCGACCCTGAATTACGCAAAGGCTTCGATACTGACCTTAGCGAGGTCAACTACGACGCGCTCAGGCTTTGCTGGAACGAGGGCATACACGCCGACTGGAACTCTGAGTGGTACCGCGAACTTGACAAGCGGAGGCAATACTCTGACCTCGCAAAAGGCACAGGGAAGGGTGCCCCTTCGCACGGGAAACGGGAGCGGCCAGCGAACTCCTCATGACCCAACAATGACCCTTCCCGCCAGCGCTGGTCAGCGTCCAGCAGCCACCGCTGGTAGCCTTCAGCGGTATCACGGCCTGGACCTGCACTGAGTGCGGCACCCCCGCCCTGGCAGTGGCCCCTTGCGCCGCCGCCCCCCCTTTCCTGCCGGCGTGGCTTCTCGCGTCGTGCCCGCCGTCTTTCACTGCCCTCGCGGCTGCCTCCCGTCGCGCACCTGCTTGGCGCCCCCCGCTAGCCCCCCCCCCGGCTCGGGGCTTGCCAGCTTGCCCTCCTTTCGCTCCCAGGCGCGTGCCCGCCCGAGCCTGTGCTTGCGAGCGGAGGGCTGCCCGCTGGCCGCCTTCCCCAGATTGGCCCCGTCACTGTTGGCCTGCACTGCCGCCCGCTCGGGACTGTACGCCGCCCCTCCCGCATGCCTCGGTGCGCTCTGCGCCGCCGCCGCTTCCCGCCTCTCGGGGCGCCAGCTTTCTGCAGGTTCTGTCCAGGCCCTGCCTGCGGCACCCCTCGGCCTTGCTGGTTTGTTCAGCCGGGGCAGCATTCATTTTGGTGCTTGTGCCCCTCTTCTCTGCCTGGCCTTCTAGCCACGCCCCCAGCACCGACCACTGGCGTCTGGTTCTGACGCTTCTTTGGCACTTCCGGCCACCCGCCCAGCACCGGCCACCGGTGTCTGGCCGCGGTCGCTGCTTTGTCATCTCGCCGCGTTCGGGTATTCAGGTAGCTCCGCCCTTGGGTTCTTCCGCACGCGCTGGCTTGCCGCCCTTCATTGGGCGCGGCCCGCCTGCCCGCCGCTGATTGGCATCCAGCCTCGGTGCCCTCGGCGCTGCTGCGCCCTTGGGCAGCCCCTCATCGCCTGGTCTCGGCGCCCCCCTCCGTAGCCGACGTCGGGGTTGCCCCGTCGGCGTGGGTCGAGGTCCTGGCCGCCCGCTTCTTCGGCTTGTCCGCCACCCCGCCCGGGCCGCCTCGGCCCGATCTCTGGCGGCGCCGCCCTGCCCTTCCCCCGCGGATGCGCCTCGCAGGCCCACGGGTCTCGGCGCTTCGCTTCTCTGCGCTGCTTCGCTCAGTTCATGCTTCGTCAGTTGCCCTCTGGGCCGCGCCCGGCGGTTTGCCAGGCCGTACTGGCACCCCGTTGCCTCTCTCTTGCCGCTCAGTCCCGCTCGCTTCCCCAGTTCCTGCTATGCAGCTTTGCGTTGCCCAGCTCAGCTCAGTGCAGCTCAGCGCAGCTCCCTGGGCCTCCCCCTGCACGCGCCCCGTTGGCCCTTTTGTCTCGGCGCTCGGCCCATTGGCAGCACCTTGGGCCAGGTCGGGGTCCGCTATGTTGTATTTGTCCATCACTAGTTGCAACATAGCGCTGCCTCCCCCTAGCTTCAGCTCAGTGCAATTCAGTGCCAGCGCTGGTCTTCCACCTCAACGCCCCCCCCCCCCCCCGCAGTCGGCAGTTCTGGGTGGCCTGGCTTCCTCTCCCCCAGTCGCGCCGGGGCCCCCCCTCCTCCGCGCACTGCGGCCTTACTTTGCATACAGCGTGTCCCTTGTTGCCATTCCGCCAGAGCAGCGCCCTTCTGCCCAGCCGTCGACGCAAAAAGTGCGCGTGGCTGTCGGCCCCTAACCACAGGGTACCCTGGCCGCCCGCCATCTGGCGCCTCGCAGGTCCATGGATCTCGGCGTTTCTTCTCGCTTCGCCTGCTGGGCCCTTCCCAGGTACCCCCCGGCCCCTCCACTGAGGTGGTCTTCTCCGGCTGCTCTGTCGCCTGGTAGGTCGGCTCGATCTCGGCGCGCGGCCGCCTTATTGTGCTGCCCGTCCCCAGCACTGTCTGGGCCTGGTCCACCCGCCTCGCGCGGCCGCCCCCGGCTGCCCCGCGGCTGCCGCCCCGGCGCCGCCCGGGTGCCACCCCGACGCCGCCCCGGCCGCGGCTTGGCCCCGCTGTGAGCGGGCCCGGCTTCTATCTCGTTCCCGCCCGCGCCGGGCCTCCCCTTTTGCTCCTCACGCGCATCGCGGCTTAATTAGCAGCTGTATGCCCTAAATTTATTATGTCCGCCAGCGCAGTCACTTTGCCTAGCTGCCGACGCGAAAAAAGTGTGTGCTTCTGATCATTTGGATCCGCAACATTTACTAATTGGATGAGATGCCATTGAACAGTCGTCCACTGAATGATCGTTTCGACCCCATGCAGCGCACACTGGCACAGTGCGTGAGGTGGCTGATCATGGCTGTATTTCTGGTACTCGGCTATGTTTTGCTTTGCATACACCACACATGCTTTTGTCCTAATTGATAGGTTATTGTGCTCCGCTCACGTGTTGTAGCGCCCTTTTTCCGTCGGTCTTCGGACCTGGCGGCGGCTTTACCGCCTAGCTGCCTGCGCCCCGGTGCGGGGCGTGGGCTGGCTTGGCCGCGGCCCAGCTTTCTTGTCGGCATGCTCCCAAGATTTTGTCTTGGGGCAGATCGGTTTCGTCCATTGCTGTGCCATCCTGCCCTCTGTTGGCCAGTTTCTGTTCCCCTTACCGTCTTAGGCGGAAGGGTTTTTGGTTGCCTGGCTGTTTGTCTCTCCGGGGTTTCTCGGGGGCTCGGCCGGGCGGTGCCTTTCACAACACGTGCTGGCCGGAGTACTGGCATTCTTGCGCCCCGAGTGGTGCGCGTGGCAACTTCCACGGGCACCGCTCGTGCTCGGCGTTGATTTCCGTCTGGCAGCTTGTCCAACGGCGGCCTTACCGCCTTGTTGCCTGCGCGTTGGCATGAGGTGCGAGCTGGCATGGCCGCGGCCTGTTTAACTGTTGCTTTCTGCATCGCACCCGGGGTGCGTGTCCGCACCTGGGGCTGCAGTTTGCATTTTTGTTGGCTTTAGCCATGGCTGTATGGCAGCTTGATTGCCGGCATCTATGCATTGGCGTTGCCCGTTGGTGGGTACGATGTGCTCCTCCTTTATTCACTTTGTCACCCTTCACCCGTGTGGTGCGGCTTGTTGTGGTGACGCGTACAGCATCTATTGATTAACTTGCCTTCATGTATCTCTCGGCGGCTTTGTTTGCGTTGGGAGTACTGTTCTAGCGCTGGCGCCTGCACTGCACGTTGGCCACTCTCGCGCCTGTCAACCACCCATGGACATGCTCGCCGTGCCTGTCCACCACCCATGTGCGTTGCCGCGTGAAACGGTTGCTGCTCGCGGTCGCCCGCGTTCAGCCCCGCCTTTTGTTCAAGGCTAGGTCGGCCTGGCCGCGTGTTCATCTTTGTCACGCCAAACTCTTGCATTATGTTGCACGACCGTTTACGCGGTTCGTGCTGGTGCAAGGCCGATGGCGTCGCTTTGTCGCGCAGCTCCTTGCGTGTTTACGCCGTCGCCTGATGGCTGGGCTGGCACCCTTCGGGTCCGCTGTTGGGGTGCTGCCGCGGCCTGTGGGTTTAGCACTCCACCCATGCTTTTGCTTTGAGCCACGGTTCGTAGGGCAGCAATATACTCGTCGTCCCGCCTGGCCTTGCTCAGCGCTACCCCATCAAATCGCCTGGTCTGGCAGCTTGACAGCTTGTCATTTGTACCGACGGTTCAGATCCTTGAGCCGAGTTATTGCGCTCCTCAGGCTCTGGCCGCTGCACGCTTTTGGGGTCATCATCTGTCGGTGATGCTTGATCATAATGTGCACTAGACTGTTCGCGTTTCAGTTCGCCTTGAGTCATGTTCGTTTTGCGTACTCATCGGGTTCTGGCCGCTGCACGCTTTTGGGGTTACCGTCTCATCACCACACCACCCATATGTTGCATTGCATTGCGTGCGACCTCTCGCACTGCTGTTCTTTCGGCTAAGTCTGTCTGAATTAGCACTTTCATCTGCTGCCCGCGCCTGAGGTTCCTCTGCGCCGCCGACTGAAAAATGTGTGTGTGCCTGTGTGTGCTCTTGTGTGTGCGTGTCGTCGGCTCGGCCGACGCGTGGGCGCTGTACATGGCCATCTGCACGCCATGCCTCCGCACAATGCAAGCGTGTCGGCGATCTCTTTGAATGCTTTCGTGCTCCTGCCACATACCCTGACGATCACGATTCGCTGCATTCGCCGAGGCTTCGTCCAAGGACGAGTGGTGAGTTCCACGGCATGGGTCAGCAGGTTGTTCTGCCGAGTAATCTAGAGCGTCTGAGTGCAGCCGTCCATTCCGCTCCCCCTCTCCCTATCGGCCGCTTCATTGCCTTGTTCCATACTGTAGACGGGGAGATGTAAGACTCGTGTTCGCCAGAACTCGGGTTTGCCGACACTTTTGACGGACCCCTCTTGAATTTTGACGGTTCTCGTTCGTGGGATGTTTGCAGCGGGAGTTTTTGTCGAATTTCAGTTTGGGTCTCGTAATTCTTGACGGCCTTGTCAGTTCAACCGTAGTCCCCCGATCCCGACCCTTACGTCTCCCCGAAGTAGACCAAACAAGAAATCGGCGCGTTGGCAGAGGCCCCACGGAAACTTCTTATCACTCGATGGAGCCAGGGACCCACAGAAGTTCAGGGGGCATTTAAGCTTCCTCAAACATCGACAACGTTCGTGCCCCAAAATGTCTTAAGACAAGATGGTTTATCGTATGCGCCTGTTGTTCCAGCTGCAACTGAAGTGAGCTGTGCCTATTACCCCCTTGGAGGGACCCACAGGCTTCGACGCCCATTCCGAGAGATCGTCCACACGATGAGTGCATCAAGCTTCATAAGGAGCACGGCTCCCCCAGTTGTAAGCCGGTCAGCTTTTCTCATCGTTGCCCGTCGTCTTCCACCCCTGCCGTCCCTCATTCCCTTCCCTCCTCCGCTGAAACCTCTGATTTCTGTGTGTGCATGTTCGCCGCCGTTGGCATGGCATAGACAGTATTGCTGCCATCAGCTTCGCTCAAATACGTAGCGAGTTAATAGGTGTGTTGGCGCGTGCGCTTGTTTGTCATGTGCCGGAGTCTGTATCACATGGTCGTTCCGCAGCATTTGCCTGCAGCATTCAGATCGACTTTCCGTGTGTTAGTCTGTGCGTTGTTTTATACTAACGGGGTCAAGATGCAGAGCTCATTCTTTGGGGGGAAGTTGCTGCAAGATGCCCCATAGCATGAGCAGACCAGATCAAAGTAGGGCCGTGCATCCCCAACAGATGCTCACCAACAAGTCTGCCTGATAGCATTGCGAGGCTGATGATCAAGCATACTTCGGAAGCCAATGTGACGAAGCCATCATAAGATCAAAATGACATGATGGCGTGCGATTTTCGATGTAAGTGTCCTTGTACGCTGGCGACACCAATTCAGCACTCATCCACATTCTAGCCACATGCACCGCTAATGCAATGCGCTACAATGGAGACCATAGGTACCGCAACCAGTAAGCATGCCCCCTAACATGTTTGACGCTATTGTCGCCTGTGCTACCCCAACCACTACCGCATACTGCTAATGTTACGGAAACTGTCACTGATATTGCTACCCCTGCTCCACAACGGAAACCAGACGCTATTGTGAAGAGGCCGACGAGGACGAGGAGGGGGACGAGGAGTGGGAGTGGCAGATCGTTGATCAGCGATGTGAGAGACCCCAGGTGTTGGCCGAGTGTTGCCGATGTTACCAAGCGTGAAAAAACTTGGTGAGCGTGTGTTTGGCGGCGCTTCTTGGGGGGCAGTTGCGCAGACTGCTCACTCTGGGACTGTATCTCCCCGTCTTCCCTCCGTGGCCCCGCTTCCCCTTCTTGCGCCCTCCCCTCCCGGTCCGTCTCCCCCGTATCGTAGAGCATTGACAGAGTGGTAGCCACATTTCTTCATCGAGAAACCAGGGTCCAAAATTTGGATTGTCCACGTCCGAATTGAATACATGTCTATGACTAAAGTATCAGCACGTAAACAAAGTTGTCATGTGAAGTGCAGGCGTGGGTATGTTCCGCATGTTCTTTGTCAGCACCGCGTGCGCACGCCTTCAAAACAAAAGGCAGCGTGCGGAACAACACGATATTGTTGAATTCCCATCGTACTAGTATACGTGTCTAGTGACATGCAGGTATCCCGTGTCGCTTGATAAGCGCTTATCCGATTCGTTATCGTTGATGTGTTGCCGTGGATTCCTATGTCTGGTGGCATCCGCCACTGTGTTTTGGAGATTGTATGGGGTCTCTTGAGAGGCCTCTTGGCGTCCTCGTGGGGGCTGCCAGTTGCATCGAGGGCCACATTGCTCGAAAGATCAGGTCGGGTTCCCCCTCATGAAGCCGTCTTGTGGCCTCGTTGAGCTTCGGGGTCTGTATGTGGGCGATGGTGGAGGGCTCTTGAGCCGTCGTGGACGTTCTGAAGACCGAAAAGCCTAGTATGCCGACGTCGTTCAAGAACGTAAAGTTGTTCAAAGTTTGGCCTTTGAGGCCGGCCCTCAGGGCTTGTACGAAGGTCGAAGAGGCCTCCAAGAGAGCCTCAGGACGGCCATTCGGGTTACATCTGTTGCCGTGCTGGAAGCGTGGGCTTCCAACCACGTTCCCGAGGCCTTCGAGAAAGTGACGCGGAGATCACCAGGAGCTTCCAGGAGCGCCCAGAAAGAAGCGCCCAAGTATTCAGTGACTTGCGGGTGTTGGGGCCTTTGGGGCAGGTTACAACCATCCGCCAAGAAGAAAGCTCGAATGGACTTGAGGACACGCCACCTTGTGCCTACAGCAGGGTGGCCTATTAATTGCGCGGTTTCGCAAACGAGGGATACAGTATGATATTACAAAGTTGTTCGTTGCATGGCGTATGGAACTACAACGCTATGCTGGTTGATCAGGGGTTGTTGGAAATCCCACTGGCCCAGAAATATGCAGAAAAGGAAAGCACCGAATGAACGACCGCACTGCAATGGGAGGTGGATGTTACAACGCAAGGCCCTCTGCACTACGTTAAAGCATATCCAGCTGCTTGCGGCAAGTCCCGCCACCGTGCCAGCCCAGCATAGTGGAAGGCGATTGCTCGAGGGTGGGAAAGCCGTCATGCGGACGATTATGATGGGAAGTGTGTTGATGGTGATGGTGATCATGATGTTGATAATGTGAATGATGATGATGATGATGATGATGATGATGATGATGATGATGATGATGATGATGATGGTGGTGATGATGATGATGATGTTGATGATGATGATGACGATGATGATGGTGGTGGTGATGATGAGGATCATGATCAGGATCAGGATCCAGATGGTGCTGGTGGTGATGGTCATTGTGATGGTGATGGTGATGTTTATGATGATGGTGATGATGATGATGGTGGTGGTGATGCCGATGATGATATTGGCGTTGATGGTGTTGGTAATGATGATGCCGGATGGTGATGATGAGTATGGCGATGTTGATGATGATGGTGGTGATGTTGATGATGATGGCGAGCATGATGATGGTGATTTTGGTGATGGTGATTGTGATGATGATGTCGAGGACGATGACTAAGAGCAGGATAAGGACAAGGAGATGGATGAGGATGTTGATGGTGATGGTAATGTTGATGATGGTCAGGATAATCATGATCATCATGATTATCATGATGATGATAATAATGATGATGACGATGATGATGATAAGAATGATGATGATGTTGAGGACGATGAAGCTTCTCATGATGAGGGGGATGCTGGTGCTTATGATGATGATGGGGATGAGGATGAGGATGAGCACCAGGATGAGGATGTTGGTGCTTGCGATGATGGTGATGATGATGGTGAAGATGGTGTTGACGGTGGTGATGACGACGACAACGATTATGATGATGATGGTGATGATGATGATGTTAATGATGATGATGATGTCGAGCGGGAAGAGGAGGAGGGACAGGAGGAGGAGGAGGACGAGGAAAGGGTAGAAATGTCTGGGGCGATTCAGGCGTCAACCGCGAGGTGGACGATTCTTCATTGCTCGTGAGTGACGTCCGCCATGGGGCCGCGGAGACCGCGTGCTCGGCGGTTAGGCTGGATACCTAAAGAGTTCGCCGGGGTTCGCTGCGGCCGAGTCCGCCTCCCGCTCTCGACTTGAGGCCGACGCCCGGAATGACGATGACATCCGCGACTTGTTGGGATGCCTACCCAGCACCTTGGGTGGCGGCGGTTCGAAGGGTACTGAGGATGTTGATGAATGCAGTTTTGATGAGGACGACCATGCGGAGAAAGAATGGGACAGCTGTCATGTGTGACCCCGTTCGTCTCCATCTCGTTGAGGAGCTCTCATGGAGCGCATTTGGGCCGTCTGAACGCTGTCTGGGGCTTTTGTGGTACATTCTTGGAGACCCCATTGGGATCTCTTGGCAGTTTGGGGGCCCTCTTGGGCCGTCTTGCGGCTCTTGAGGCCGTGTTGCACAGTCGTCGGGGTCCTTTGAGGCCGTCTTTGGTCTTCCGGGGCGTGCAAGCCCAGCACTTTGGGTGGCGACTGGTGGGATGATGATGGCGATGAAGATGGTGGTGGTTTTGATGATGATATTGATTACGATGGCGACGACGACGACGATGACGATAAGGAGGAGGACGAGGAGGAAGAGGAAGGCTGTCTTACGTGTGGCGTTTTTCGGTTTTCCCTCACTCGGAGTTCTCACTGAGCTCAATGGACCGTTTGAGGGCTGTCTTGGGCTCCCGTGAAGCGGTCTTGTGGGCCCCTTGCAGCCTTCTTCGGTCGTGTTGGGCCGTCTTGGGGGGCCGGGGGTCTGGTGGGGCCGTGTTGCTGCCACCTAGGGATCCTCTTAGGCCGTCTTGGGTACCTCTGGAGACCGTTTTGGGCCAGCTTGAGGCTCTCTTGGGGCCGTTCTTGGCCGTCCAAGAGCCGCCTTGTGCCTTATGAAGGCAGTATTGTACGCTTCTTCGCTTGTTTTGATATTGTCTTTGGCCTTTTGGGCGATGTTTGAAACCTCTGGGGCGTTCGGATGTGACGGGAGCCCAGAGACGCAAGAATCCAAGAGTTAATGAAAACCCAAAGGAAAACCATGGGTGTGTGCATGTTCTGGCCCTTCGGTGGGCTATTCTTGGAGCCTTGTTGAGCCACATTAGGAGCTTATTTGAGCCATCTTGATGCCATCTTGGGTCGTCATGAGGATTTTAGTGGCACCTTTGGGGCCATCTTGGGCCATCCTGGAGGCAGGT